GTCCTAGAGAGGGTGAAACCTGGCTGATACTTTGGGCATGTAGCAAGTAGGGATCAGTCTTTGAAGAGGGACAGCATGCTTGGAAGGGTGGAAGGACATTGCAAGAGAAGAAGACCCTGGATGAGATGCAGAGCTGTTGTACATAGGATCACTGAGTAGACTTGACAGCACATAACAACATTAGCAACAGAGTTCATATTCATTCTAGTCCATCGTAGACTAAAAGTTTTGCTAAAATATTTTCAGCATCATAGCAACAAGCAATTAATCAGGGCAGGAATAGTGGTGACTATGTATTAGGTTAGAAAAAAAATCAAGGTCACACAAGTGTCAAGGACTTTTATTCATGGAGTCACTATGATTAGCCTACAATTCGATGACACTTAACAACACAGAGAGAGACAAGTTGGCCTAGAGTACTGCAAATAAGTCTACCAAACCAGAGGTGGGTGACTCTAATCCACAGTCCTCAGACATGTTCTTAATTGTTTGGTCAAACATCCTTCTATGTTGTATAGCCCTGGTGTGTACACTTGCCATACAGAGGTAACTTGTGGTTGCTGTGAAGCTGAACACTGTGACACTGATGTGTCAAATGTGATAATGGTTATCCATGGTGGACAGTGTTTGGTGGAGCTCCTTGATTAAAACAAGCTTAGAAGCAGGAGTGGCATCCACTTCTGTAAATATCTTGCCTCTGGAAACCCTATGAACCTGGAGAAAGGATGAAAGTCACACAAGTGTCGAGGACTTTTATTCATAGGGTTGCTATGAGTTGCCTATGACTTGATAGCACTTAACAACAAGAACAACATGTATGAGATGCATTGGCTTGGAAAGGGATACATTGCCAACTTTACTGTCCCTGACACACTTACCCTCATTGCCCCAGTCACTGCATCAGTCCATCTCATTGATGGTCTTCTTCTTTTTCTATGTCCCTCCACCATTCCAAGCATGATGTCCCTCCTTGCAGCATGTCCGAAGTATGTCAAATCCTCAGAATCCTTGCCTCTAAGGAGTAGTATGACTTCACCCTTTCTAGGACAAAGCTGTTTGTTCTCTTGGCAGTCCATGGTATATTCAATACTCTTCTCCAGCATCACAGATCAAATACATCAATTTTCTTTCTATCATCCCTAGTCGTTTTCCAGCTATCTAATGCATAGCAAGCAATTGCGAAGACTATGGCCTGGACCAGGTGTACCTTAGTCTCCAGAGTGACATTGTTGCTCTTCAGGACTCTGGAGAGGTCCCTGGCATCCAACTTTCCCAATGCAATTCGTCTCTTGATTTCCCAGCTGCTGTATCAAGAATGTTGATTGTGGAGCCAAGCAAGCTAAAGCTGTTAACAATCTCAAGCTCTTCACCATCTATTATAATGCTGCCTATCAGCCCAGTGGTGAAAATCTTTGTTTTAATATTGAGGGTCAATCCATATTGAAGCTTACAGTCCTTGACTTTCTGCAGCAAGCACTTCAGGTCCTCCTCAGTTTCAGCAAGCAGAGTTGTGTCATCTGCATAACGCAGATTATTCATAAATCTTCCTTTAATGCTGATGCCACATTCCTCCTCCTATAGTCCAGCCTCCTGGATGATCTGTTCTGCATATAAACTGAAAAAGTATAAAGACAGGATACATCCTGGTGTCTCCTTGCTCTGTTTTGATGACTGCCTCCTGGTCCTTCACATAAGCACAATTAAATATTCTGGGATTCTCATTGGTCTCAGAGTCAGCCATAGGTTTTTCTGTTTTTGTTTTTTTTTCTATCCACACAATCAAACACTTTTGCATAGTCAATTGGAAGGTCATTAAAACTAAGACACTGATCCACTGTGTTTCTGACCTGGGTTCCTTCAGCCCTTAGGCAAAGAGATTGTCTCCTGCTCCTGGGAGGTCATCATAATGATGCTGAACTTAGTGTGGATGCCCAATAGGCACCGCACACTCTAGCCCAAGAATCCTGTACCCATGTGATCGACCCTCCAGCCTCAATCCCATTAGCATCTGGGGCTACAGGCCTACTTCTGTGCTATAGACCGTGAACATTGCATTGTAATAGGTGAAAGGAAAGTCAATCTGAGGAACTATATTACTCATAACAAGTAAAACAACAATCTGGAACAGGTCATGCTTTACGGAATGAATGTGAGAAAAGGGGAGACATCTATATAAATGAGTGAATGAAAAACTAATTTTTATTAATGACTTTTAATGCAACATATATTTTTACAACATTTCCCCCCCATTCATTCATTGTTGCACCTTTCCTCCCTGCCTGACCCCCCAGTTAGTTTTTCTCTTTAAAGAAAAAAAAAATACTTTCACTGTTATACAATCTCCTCCCTCAGTCCACTGTCCACTTTAATATACATTTCTTTTTCTGCAATCTTTTCATGAACATAATACCTAATCCTACATTCCTTTTAAACAGTTCTCTCCCTTAATCTCCTTTTCTTCAGTTCCCCCAACCCTGATGTTTTTAGTAATATTGATTGCAGTCCTAATAATTCTCACATTAGAAAAACAAACAAAACAGAACACTGGATTTAAGATATGTCTTGATATGAATAATAATTTATCTCTAAAAATATTGTATGGTTAGTTATAGGGAACTTTGGGGGCCTAATGGTAAAAAGCTGTGCTGCAAGTCCAAAGGCACATGTTTCATATCCACCAGGTGCTCCACTAGAGAAAGACAGATTATCTCTTCTTATGTGATTAATTGCCTCTGAAAATCCATCAGATGATTAGCTATGGATCGGTTCCAACTCCATGGTACACAATAACAACAGCAACAAAAACAATTGTTCTAACATTCATTTCTTCTGATTGTTCTATCAAAATTAACGCATTTGATGCTTCAAACAACACAATTTTATTATTCTACAATTCTGGAGTCAAAAATACACAATATTACAGCAGAAGTACACAGTATCACAAATGTTGTCACAGTCCACAATGCCACAAAGTTACAGGTGTTGACCACGATATGTTCCTTCTAGGAGATTAAGAGAAAGATCTGTCTCATTTTCCAACTTTCAGAGATATTCCTTGTTTCATGATTTTCATTCATCCAGGGCAAAAATAGTTGATTTAGTCTATCTCACACTTCATTTCTCCGACACTCTTCAGCCTCTCTCTTTTATACAGGAAGACCTTTGCAATTACATTGGGCCCACATGGATAATCAAGGATAATTTCCCTATATCAAGGTCAGCTTATTAGCAACTTTAGCTCCTTTTAATTGTCTGCCACGTAACCCAACATATAGGTTCTGGGGCTAAGTATATAGGTTTTTTTTAAATCATTATTCTGCTTACTATATTGTTCCTAATCTACTGATTAAACAGATTCGTTTCTCAATATCACCTCTGTATAATATTGTGTTGTTGTTGTTATGTGCTGTCAAGTTGCCTGCGACTCAGCGAGACCCCTATGTGCAACAGCCCTAAATCCTGCTCTATCTCTTGCTTATCTTATTGCCGCTGACACGCCCATCTCCATTACCCCAGTCACCGAATCAATCCATCTCATCGAGGGTCTTCCTCTCCTGTGCTGTCCCTCCACCCTTTCAAGCATGAAATCCCTCTCAAAGGACTGATCCCACCTTGTAATTAAAATAAATGTTCTAAAAATGTATAAAACATGTTGGTCAGTAGCTCATCTTTCTCAAGACAAAAACTCTTCAAAGCAGGCACAGGCTAGCTCCATTTAAGTCTTCATTTAAACAACAGGAGAAACTAGCTTAAATTCACTACAATTAATGTACTGGCAAATTTACATAGGTAAGTGTGATGCACTTATATATTCTAGAAGAAAACCACTAATAACACACTTTTCAATGAGATTTTGGAATGGATAGGAGTTGCTTTAATAGCTAGTATAAAAAATGTCACAAAATAGATCCACTGTGAAAAATTCTACAGTTGTCAGTGATTTCTTTGTTATAAATAACATTTTTATAGTGTACTTTTCTGCACAGAAAAATAGTAATTCACTTTATGAATACTTTCATATTTACAGTGACCTTTTAAAAGCAGCAGTTGAAAGAGAATGTTGCAATATGAACTATAATATTTCTAAAATTAAAAATTCAAATATACTATCCTTATTGTGACAGAATAATTTTTACTACACTATAAAGTTGAAGAATAGACTATTTTAGATTTATTTACAGTATTTTTACAATGAGAACCTTGAATACTAGTATATCTTGATATATTTTTGTTTTACTGATTAAATATTAGATGTTATATTTTGTGACATAAGTATATAAACAAAATACACTTCTTTCTAATGTTCCCTTTAAATCAGAAATGTTCGGTTTTTCATTTGTGGAGGTTTCTTACTTTTGGAATATTATAAAAAACGAATTAGTAAATTAATATTCACTTTATTCTGAGTTGTTTTCGGTACAAACAGATCATGCTACAAAATGATACAATGTGTTTATTAAATTTTTTATTTTCCCTCCACAATTTCTCACCTAGTTTTTTTTAAAAAAACTGTATTTAAATTATGTCTCATTGTCATAAAAGCCATTCCCTTTTTACTGTTTTATATTCTACTCCTTCATTTGCTTATATTCTACATTCTATAATGGAGCTCATTACCCTTGTGGTAGGGGACTACTTTCAAAGGCAACACAAGTTACAAAACTATCAAACCAGTGGTTTCCTTCAGGACATTCATATATTTCTTGTGTTGGAAATAAACTCTTTCCTTGGGCGCAGTGATATCACTCCTGGGAAACCAATTACTTTCCAAATATCTACAATACTCTTCTGACATAACTAACCAAGCCATGTAGAAAATCATACTGTAGCTCTATGGTATATAATTTAAAGTTTCTATACCGTACACAGAAACACAGATTTAAAGTATTTTGCTTCTGGTAATTAAAAATGAGATGTTTTGATCAATTCATTATTATTAGTCATCCACAGCTAGAACCTTCCAGTTTTGTGTAGCTCTAACTACACGTAGTTCTTTATGTTTATCTTAAGCATCCAAAACAACAAGGAACGTTTTTGAACAATCTATAATATTCTTCTTGGATCTAAAAAGAATAAGAAAAAATATAATTACAGTCATTACAACGAATTATTTTCAAGTGAACATTGAGTTGCTCTTCTAAAACATTATTCTTATTTTTATTAAACTGTAGGAGCATGATCAAGAATAAATATCAATTATACTTACATTACCTGTGACAAGTTTTTAAAAGCACACCCTTTATGATCAGCTAGAAGTTCTGATCATTTTTACATTAAAATTCAGTTTAGTTAGGCACAATAAAGGCATAAGTCATAAACCTATATGAATTCTTTTATAAGCTTTGGTGATATAGTCCATAGCAAGATGCACTGATAAATCAAAGTCTCTGCTTTTTTTCAGTGCAACAGAAGCCCTAAGAGAGATAAAACGGGCAATCTACTCCTGTTGCAATTTACAGCTAGAGAATTTACAGACCTTGTGGTAAGCCTCTATGAGCCAGAATTAACCATATGGCAATGAGTGAGAGGGATTCCTATGAATATATTGCATGATACAGCTATGGAGTTGATTGTAACTCACAAGGACCCTCTATCAGATTTCCGAGGCTTTAAATTTTATACAAAAGGAGCTCCGGTGGCCTAGTGGTAAAAAACTGCACTGCAATCACAAAGGCATATGGTTTGAATCTACTGGCTGCTCCCCTGGAGAAGGATGGGCCTCTGAAAACCTGCCGGAGCTCAGCTATGGGTCGATTTTGACTCTTCTGTACAAAACAACAACAAATCTTTGTAAGAGATAACTGCCTATCTTTCTCTTCTATGGCAGCTATTGACTTTGAACTGCCATCTTCCAACAATTGTTGGCAGTGAAATTTGAACATTTTATACCAAACTCAAACCAAAACCACTGTCAATGACTCAATTCCAAGTAACAATGTCTCTCCACTGAGTTTCCGGGGCTGTAAATCTTTATGAAAGTAGACTGCTCATCTTTCTCCTATCGAGTGGTGGTGCCTTCTTTCCATTTAGTAGCCTTATGAATTACACAGTTCTGAACATATTGTTAAATAACAACAAATCCAAACTAAAACAACACAAAAATCATAAGGCCCTGTCATTGAGCTAATATTGATGCATATATTGGATTTCTGAGGATATAACCTTTATTGCATATGTTGCTGTTGTTGCTATTGTCCTGCCGAGTCACCTGTGATTCATAGCGACCCTGTGTACAACAGCCCTAAACTCCACTCTATCCTGTGCCAGCCTCACTGTGTCTGACACACCCACCCCAATTACCCCAGTCACTGAATCAATCCACCTCATAGAGGGCCTTCCTCTCCTGCACTGTCCTTCCACCCTCCCAAGCATGACATTCCTCTCCAAAGACTGGTCCCTCCTTGCAACATGTCCAAAGTATGTCAGACGAAGCTTCAGAATCCTTGCCTCCAGGAGCAGCCTATTATATGTGTTATTGTTATGTATCATCTACTCGGAATCAACTCACGTTATAACTAACCTTCCAGTAAATTTTCAAAGGCTGGAACTCACATGGGAGGAGACTGCCCATCTTTCTCTATTGAGTGACTGGTGTCTTCCAACCACTTGGCTTTTGGCTGGCAGCACAACTTCTTACCACTGGGCCACCAGAGCTCCCTTTGTATAGAATGTTGCTACTATCATTATGTACCTTTAAATCACATGCAGGTTGGGGGTAATATTAAAACTGTTTACCTTTCTGGATAGTACACACAGGAATAAGAAAATGAACATTCCTTGGAAGGCATTGCTGACCGTGAAGAGGTAGGCTGTCACCACGGATGCATGCACAACATGGAGAACCCCAAAGATCCAGGTGGTGCCAAGAAGGAAGAGGAGAGCCAAGGCTCCTCTTGCACAAGACCTATAAAGTATAGCATGATTCATGAACAAACACACCTATACTCAACACACCCCTCATAATACCTAAAAGTATGTGGAAAATGTATTTGGTGCAACCAATAACTCTTTTACAAAGACCAAAAATGATGTTAAATATAAACACAGTTCTGCCACAGTTATGTGGCTAAGCCTTGAGGGTGTGCTACTGCACTGTGGCAGATCCAAGATACTTATTAAAATGTGTTCTTTTTAAAGGAATATCCTTAATCTTGAAATATTGTTCTCTGGTTCACTGCAATGGGCATGCTTTGACTTCAAATCTAATGCTGCAGATATTCTCAAAGGTGAAACATTTATCTGTTAAGAAGTCTTTTCCCTAACCAGTCTTGAGCGGTGTATCATGTGAACCTGGGTTGGCTAATGTGAATGACATCCAAGAAGGCTTCTGCTTACTTATAGGGTTTAGTTCAGAAAAGGGGAAGCATAGGCGATAGATAGATAGACAGATAGATCGATCATATTAAAAAACACTCATTCCCATCAACTGAGAACCAACTTACAGCTGACACTCCAGTGAGTTTTCTGAAGCTGCAAGTAACATAGGAGTAGATTACCCATTTTTCTCCTTAAGAGCAGCTGGTATATTCACCAATACAATCCCCTACCCACTAGACCACCAGAGTTCCCTATAGATAGACATAGACATAAAGACAAAGACATAGACATAGATACATTTTATAATACATATCTTTTAATTGTGTTACGACATTGATTTCTTAAAATTAAAAAAAAGACACTAACTTCATCCCACATATTTCAACTGATTGTATGTGCCTTTTAGTGCAGTAACATTTAGTCCTGCTTGCTGAGGAAGCAATGAATGAATCTATTCTCACTCATTCTTATACCAATTAATCTTTATTGCTCAAGATAGTTAGCAGTGTGTCTCAAAAGTAAGTCATTTGCAACTTTATTAAAACCAGTAGATTACATAGTCATGAAATTATGACTGGTGAGGAGTGAAAGAAATCTGTCAAATGTTTGCTAAATAATAACTATAAATCTTACAGAAAGTATTGAAACTATGGAGTGTTCCCAAGTAACACAAATAATCAGTTGTTTCCACTTTCCCTATAGTACATGTTAGTCTTTCTGAACAAACCATTTCTAAGGTCTCAATAAATCAACTTTAAAGAGAGGAGGTTGAAGGGAAATTCCAGCAGCATGTAAATTAGGAATTGCAGTTACTAAGATATGAGGAAATCTTTTTGCGAAAGAAAATAATTAAGGCCTACTTTTGCCTTAAGAAATATCTTTTGTCTTTCAATTGAAAGTATACATGAAAATAATATATAAATTCTAATCTCATCATTGGTTATAATCCTACTCTAAATATTGATGGCTATCTAGTAATACATATTTATTACTTGGATGTTTTAAATTTAGGAGAAAATGTGAAACAAGAAATTAAAACATGATACTTCCAAAAATTATTTCCAGTTTAAGTTTGAGAAGGAACAAGCTGAAATTAATTTTCTGGAATATTTATTATAACTTCAAAATGGCTACCTTAGGATCTGAACTCAAATTCCAAATTAAAAAGCCTGTTCTTTTCTAAGATGTTAATATTTAAACAGACTGACTATAGTTTCTAAAGAAATATTTTCTTTTTTAACTAGACTATGCAGAACCTTCCAAGACCATGAAAAATGTATTAGGGAGCTCTGGTGGCCTGGTGGCAAGAAGATGTGCAACAATCCTGAAGGCATATGGTTCAAGGACACCAGCTGCTCTGTGGGAGATGGATCCACAGGCTCCTCCCATTCGATTAACTGCCTCTGAAAAACTACCAGGAGGATAGCTATGGGTCTGTTCTCACTTTCTGGTACACAACAACAACAACAACAACAACATACTTACTTTATACTTTGTGACAGCAATAGTAATTAATTGAAAAAGCCCACAGAATAGGAATAGATTGCCCATCTTTCTCCTAGGGAGCAACTAGTGGGTTTGAACTGTGTGTCTTTGAGATTGCAGCCTATCTTCTTAACCACTAGGCCATCAGAGCTCTCTTTATCATTAAGTAACACGTAATTAATTCAAGTTATTTCTATTAATTACAAATAACTTCCTACTTTCGGTTATCTGTCTTTGACCTCCACAAATTACCAGCAAGCTAGCAGAATATTGTATAGGTATTTCCTAGTTTAAATACATAAACATTGCTTAGAGGCCCATGATTTCTTGGAAAGCCAGAGTTCACTTGGTGGATTTTGCTTATCCTCAGCTTAATCTATGTTACTCTATCCTTAATCTTCAGCAGAGTAAGGAGTTTTAGTCTACAACACATTTTTAAAGAAAGTACTTTTAGAAAGTAAGTTTACCTTATGTTCTCATAGCAGCTAACATCTGGTTTCAACCCTGCAGTGTGACGAAAAACTTTGTATATGATAACTCCAAAAGCCAAAAGGTTAACCTGGGAAAATATTAATTTTAAAGAAGAGATAATCTTCATAAGAAATTAGACACATATGAAAGAAATAAGCAAGTGGTAGGGATTTCAAGTAAGCAAGGAAGCAGAAAAATCATGGCATTTTAATGTATATTACAGAGTACAAACCTTCTGGTAGGCTTAGGCAAGCAAATCTGCGAAATAGCACTGAAAATGATTGTTAGTACATTTTTCCTTATTATGTTAAACAACCTGTTCAAAGAACCTCTCCAGACATTACAATCACATATACAGATTGATGAGCATCATCTACTGCCAGTAACATAATCAATATGCACATTAAGATAAATTTTGGTTTGGAAAGCTTTAGAAACATTTGAGAAACAAAGTTTGTTTCATGGAATTTATAGTTTCCCGAAGAGAACTTATAATCTATTAACAACTTAAAAATTAAAACCATAAAACAAAACTTGAAAGAACCTAGAACACTTAACAATAAAATCCACATTTTATTTTGCTAGAGAATACTTACAGGTACTTTCTTTTGTATGTTCTTCTAAACATTTCTCACACTATTTATGTTGAGATCATCTTTACCTAAATTTGACCTTTGAAATTTTCTAAATATTAGTCACTGAAATAAACATCAGTAGAGGGAATATAAATGTCATCAATAAATACTTGTTACTATATTATTTATACTGTTTGTGGCTGTTGAGTCAGAGATGACTCAAGCTGATTCCCCAGTGAGTTTTCAAAGGCAATAATTTGCACAGAAACAAAAACCAATACTATTTATAAAACTTTACTCAAATTAAAAAAGAAAAGAAAAGAATAGAAAAAATGACTTGGAAAATAAACCAAACAAAAGTAAAAACTCACTAGCTTCAAGACTGGACAAACTCATAGTTGACCCTGTAAAGCGTTTCCAAGGTTGTAAATTACATGAGAGGTGATTGCTCTCAATATTCTCCCAAGCCCTCACTGTTGATTTTGAACCACAAGAAAACTATACTCTTTGGATTAACAGCATAAATCCCTATGGACTATAGCAATGTTGTTTTCAGGTGTCATTGAGTCAAGGATGACTCATAGAGAGAGACCCAATGAACAACAGACCTTTCTTTTTTTTTTCTTTTCTATAACAGGCAATTTTAAGCAGCTTTTATTATCCACTATAATTACTATATACATAATTAAATACATATATATTCCACTAAATATATCAACACATGAAATAGTAATTTATAAATATCAAGATAACTAAGCATAAACAAATGGTATTTTTTTTTCTTTTTTTTCACTATTTTAGAATTTAATCATTCAGGAAGATATAGTTACACAAATTATTCACAAAGCATAAAAATATTTAATCTCAACAAAGCACAAAAATTGATATGAAAAATGGCTATATTATTTTTAATGTACTATCCATTTTTTCTTGACAGACCTTTCTTATGCACCCTCATCATCTCTTACACTGTTAACCCTATTGTTACCATGACACTCCAGCTCACTGAGAGGGGCGGTCCTTCCTCTTTTTCATATACCCTCAACCTTTCCAAGCATTATATCTCCTCTTCACTATATAGCCTCTCCTAACAACACGTGCAAAGTATCAGAGCCAAATCTTCACCATCTTTGTCTCCAAGTAGTACTATGTTTGCACTCTCTCCAAGATATATCAGTTCGTTCATTTGGAAGTCCATAGGGTATACAGTACTTTTCACTGATACTCAAATACTTAAAATACATCTATTCTTGGGTCATGTTAATGTCTTTTCCAGTTCTCAGATTCATGGTAAGTAATTGAAAAGGTCATGGCCTGAATCAGTTTCATCTGTCTTCCAAGTGACATCAGTATTTTGGAGAGATCCCTGACAACTAACCTGCCCTATCAATTTGTCTTCTGATCTTCTGCGTGTTGGTCCCAATGGTGTTGATTGTTAATCCAAGTAAGATGAAATAATTGACAATTTCAATATTTTATTCATCTTTCATGATGTTCTTTTTTGATACAGTGGTAAGGACCTTTGTTTTCTTGATGTTGAGATGTAGACCATATTGAAGTCTGCAGTGTTTACTCTTCTGCAATGTTTCAAGTCCTTCTCACTTCCTGCAAGCCAGGTTGCACTATCAGCATAATGCAAGTTGTTAATGAGTCTTCCTCCAATCCTGTTGCCACATTCCTCTTCATACAGTCCAGACTTATGAATTATTTGCTCAGCATATAGGTGAACAGGTATGGAGAAAGGATACAACTCTGACACACAACCTTCCTGATTATAAACCATGCAGTGTTCACTTGTATCTGTTCAGATCAGTGGCCTAAGTGTATCTTTCATATCAGCACAATTTAGTATTCTAGGTTTCCAATTATTTTCAATATTAAACCATGTTGTTGTTGTTGTTGTTGTTTTCTGTTTAGTCAATTATGACTCATAGCAACTCCATGAACAAAAGACCCAATGCTTTTCTATAAATTTCTCCAAGTTCATAGAGTTTTCGTAGGCATGTAGTTTAGGAAGTAGATGCCACTCCTGCTTCCAAATCTGTCTTCCAACTGGGAGTGCCACCAAATACTGTCCACTTTGGTCAAACATTATGGTATTTAATACTCCAATGGCACAGGTTCAGCATCACAGCAAACCCAGATTCTCCCAGTACAGAAAATTGATGAGGAGTAATGTACAAAGTAGAAGAATGTTCCTCCAAAATAAAGCAACACTAGTCTCACTTAGCATTGGTTAAGTGTCATCAGGTTGATTACCTAGCAACCCTATGAACAAAAGACATGAACTATAATTTATGTAATTTATTAATGTTTATGGAGTTTATAGTTTGCTATAATCCAAGCATTCTAAAAGCTAATAGTTATAGAAAGTATTTTTTTCTTCCAGATGCAAAGGGGTTTCATATAGCTTATTAAAATTTATTATTATTGTAGAAATTAAATGACAGGTTATTTAACTTCACATTGTTTTTTTTCCATGGGAAGGTCTTAAGCTCTTTGAAGAATAAGGTGTCTCATCTATTCTTCCTGCATTTAAATAGCCATTATATCTAATTTTATGATTCACTAATTATGATAATCATTTGATGGGAAGTAAAACTAACAATTACAAGACAGAGATAAAGTATATTTCAGTTGATTGAGCTGACAATTTTATTCTGTATGCTTAACTCACTGAAATCAAATGATAATTTAATAATACTTAATTTTATAGTGTTTGTTACTTAAGAGTCATACTGATTTCCTAGCTCTTAATATCTCAAGGTACTGTTTATAAATTTTGAAAGTGACACTAAATTTTATAAATAATGCATATACTTCACTAATAAAAAATATTTGGTTATAAAAATCACAGAACAAGAAACCTGCTACTATGAAGTCAATTCCAACTCATAGTGATCTTTCATTGGTTCCTGAGAGTTTAAATCTTTACATGACATGGCTCTTTATTTCATGGAGCCTGTGGTTGATTCAAACTGCTGACCTTTTGGTTAGCAGCCTGACATTCTAAACAAAATATTAGGACTCCATACATGTACATACACAATGTAAGTAATATATGCAAAGCTTTCACAACTTGAAAGATATTTCAAGAATTTGTATGAAAATATTAAAGCAATATTTCAATAATAAAGGATTTTTCATAAATGAGTGACCAATAATAACATCAGAGTAAAGATCTCGAGTTTCTGTTTTCAATAAATCTGAAATCAGAAACGAGCATGAGCATGCACATGTTGGACATACCATATTCTATTTTATTTATTCCCATTCCAAAAAAAGGATCATCTACAATGTATGGAAATGATTGAACAATAGCACTAATACCACATGCAAGCAAAACTCTGCTGAAGATCTTCCAAAAACAATTGGAAGTGTACATTGACAGAGAACTACGAGAAACACAAGCTGAGTTTAGAGGATGGCATGGCACTGGAGACATCATAGCCAATGTCAAATAGATCATGGCTGAAAGCAGAGAGTATCAGAGGAATGTCTATCTGTGTTTCATTGACTTTTCACAAGTATTTGATTGTGTGGATCACAACAAATAATGGCTACCTTTGAAAAGAATGGGAATCCCAGAACATTTGATTATGCTTATGTGAAATCTATTCTAAAACCAGGAAAGAGTCATCAGAACAGCAAGGAAAAACTGCATTGTTCAAAATCAGGAAAGAAGTATGTCAGTGATGTCCCCTCTCTCCACCCCTTTTCAATGTATATGTGGAATAGATAATTCGCGAGGCTGAACTTTATGAGGAATATGACATCTGGATTGAAAAAGGTGGTGCATTTATAAAATGCAGGTTGAAGACTCATCAACACCTGCATTTTATAGATGACACCACTTTATTTGTTGAAGTTGAAGCATTTGCTGTAGAAGGTCAAAGACTGCAGTTTTCAATATGGATTCAAGCTCAGTATCAGGAAAACAAAGATTCTCACCACTGGGCCAATTGGCAGAACCATGATAGATGAAGAGATTGAGATTGTTAACAATTTTAGCTTTCTCTGTTGGTTCCACAATCAACACTGTTGGCACCAGCAGTCAGGAAATAAAAACAAAAAACAAAACAACCAATCAACCAAACCCAAAAGATCTTAATTATATTTGGAAAATCTACTTTTAGGCGTTTCTCCAGGATGCTGAAAAGTGACAATGTCAGTCTCGAGTCTAAGGTGCACCTAATTCAAGCCATGGTCTTTGCAATTTTTTTTTTTTGCTATACATCAGAGAGTTGGACAATGAATAAAGATGATAGAAGACTTGATGCCTTTCTGTTGTTGGGCTGGAGAAAGGTATTGGACATACTATAGACTGCCAAAAGAACAACAGATCTGTCCTGGAAAGGGTAAAACTAAGTTTCTTCTTGGAGACAAGGATTTTGAGGCTCAATCTTACGTACTTTGGGCATATGGCCAAAGAGGGATGAGTCCTTGGAAAAGGACATCATGCTTGGAAGGGTGCAGGACAGTGCAGGAGAGGAAGAACCGGGATGAGATAGAC